AAATATTAACTCAAGATGAAGCATATACTTAAATGTTAAAGGCAAAACAATAATGTTTCTAAAAGAAAAGCTAGGAGAATATTCATTATATTAATCAGAAATTTCTTAAACACAAAGCATAGTCATAAAAGAAAAAACTGATTAAATTGGACTTCATAATATTAAGGTCTTTTGCTTTTGAAAATACAATTAAGAGAGAGAGAAAAGGCAAACCACAGACTGAGAGAAGCTATTCATGAAATATGTATATATATATATCCAGACTATAAATATATATGTATATATATATACATATATATATATATATATCCAGACTACTACATACGTACGTATATCCAGAATATATAAAGAACTTCTACTGCCAATAAGAGGACAGAAACCTCAAATTTAAAACAATCAAAATATTTGTTCAGACCTTTCTGTAAAGAAGATATCCAAATGTTCAATGATCATGTGAAAGATGGTCAACATTAATTGTTAAAGAAATACAAATTGAAAATACAATGAAATAGCACTAGACCTAGAATAGCTAAGATTAAATGGCTGAAATTACTGAATGTTGGTGAGAATGCAGAACACCTCAAGCTTACATAGTACTGATGCCAATATAAATTAGGTCAACCACTTTTGCTTAACTGACTGAGCCACCCAGGTGCTCTAGGTCAACCACTTTGGAAAAATATTTGGCACTACCTGCTAAAACTAGACACACGTATACTCATGACTCGGCAATTCCAATCCTAGGTGTATTTTCAAGAGCAATGAATCCATATGTGTACCAATAAGGCATGTACAACAATGTTCATAGCAACTTTCTTCATAACAGCCCCAAACCAAAAAATAGCCCAAATGTCCATCTATAGTAGAATGGATTGAAAAAAACATGTTATATTTAATATAATGGAATCACACACAGCAATAAAAAAGAATGTACTACTTCTACCCAAAGGAATGTATAAATATCACAGACAAAATGACAAGTGAAAGAACACAGATACAAAGAGTACCTTCTAGGAGCACCTGGTTGACTCAGTAGAGCATATGATTCTTGATCTTACACTTGTAAGTTCAAGCCCCACACTGGGCATGGAGCCTACTTAAAAACAAACAAACAAACAAACAAAACAAAACAAAATAAAAAGAGTACATTCTCTATGCTTCCATGTAAATGAAGTTGAAGATGCAGCAAAAATAATCTAGTACCTTCTAAGTGCCAGAAATGTTTTCTGTCTTGATTTCTTTTTTTTTTTTTAATTTTTTTTTCAACGTTTATTTATTTTTGGGACAGAGAGAGACAGAGCATGAACGGGCGAGGGGCAGAGAGAGACGGAGACACAGAATCGGAAGCAGGCTCCAGGCTCTGAGCCATCAGCCCAGAGCCCGACGCGGGGCTCGAACTCACGGACCGCGAGATCGTGACCTGGCTGAAGTCGGACGCTTAACCGACTGCGCCACCCAGGCGCCCCTTTCTGTCTTGATTTCTATAGTGGCTACACAGGTGTAAACATACATAAAGATTCATTGAGCTCTACACTGAAGATTTGTGCACTTGACTGTATGTAAAATATCTCAATATAAAATAAAATTGAGATGTACAACAATGTTTATAGAAGCATTTTTCATAGTAACCCCAAATTGGAAACAACCCAAAAGTCCATCAACAGTCTATCAACAGAATCAATAAATAAATTGTGGTATATTCATCCTGTAGAGTACTACATTAAAATGAAAAAAAAAAACCTGATACACACAAAAACATGAGTGAATCTCAAAGACATAATATTGAGCAAAAGAAGAGACACTAATATACCATTTATCAATTCTATTCCTGGATGCATATTCCAAAGAATTGAAAGCAGTAAATCAAATACTTGGAAATCAATGTTCATAGCAGCAGTATTCATGACAGCCAAAAAATGGAAACAATCCACCAATGGATGAATGGACTAACAAGATGTGATTTATCCATACCACAGAATATTATTCAGCCATAAAAAGAATGCAGTACTGACACCTGCCACAACATGAATGAACCTCAAAGACATTATGCCCAGTGAAAGAAGCCAGTCAAAAAGGGACAAATATTGTGTGATTTCACTTACATGAGGTTCCTAGAATAGACAAATTCGTAGAGATAGAGAATAGAATAGAGGCTACCAGGGGCTGGGCAGGGGAGAATGAAGAGTTATTATTTAATGGCTACAGAGTTTGGGAAGAAATTGCTGGAAATGAGTAGTGGTGATGGTTGCACAATGCTGTGAATGCACTTAATGCCCCTGAATTGTAAACTTAAAATTGTTAAGTGGTAAATTTTATGTTATGTATATTTTATCACAATTTGAAAAAAAGAAATTGGATATAATAGAATACATATTGTATACTTCTACTTCTATGAAGTTCTAGAACAGACAAAATTAATGCATGGAAAGAGAGATCAGGATAGTGATTGCTTTTGGATGAAGTATTGACTAGAAGAAGGTAAAAGAGAGCCTTCCAAAAGAGTATCTACACCTTGCTCAGAGTGGTAGTTACATGGATGTATACAGACATAAAAATTTGTCAAGCTGTCACTTTACAGCATATACATTATATTTCCATTTAAAAGGGGGAAAAAAGAGTAGAAGCTGGGGAAACTGTCACTTAAAAGTTGCTTGCGTTTTTTAATCCCTTGACTATGGAGACTTATGCTCACTTGGAAGTAGATTCTCTCTTTGGGGAAATTAGCAAAACTGGCCCTTCTGATCTCACTGGTGTAAAACTAGAAACCCAGCATTGTCCTGGGGAGAGCTACAAAGCACCTTAAAACTGACCACAGAGATTCAGGGTCCTGTCTTGGTCACGCATAGTGGGTGCAATAAATCAGAGATGTGTTTATGAGGCTTCTTGACTTTGGGGAGTGGAGAGGAACAGTACAAAGGAAGGAGGGGCTGAGAGAAATGTCTCTTGGCTATGTGCTTGAACTGCAGCTTGGGGCCGGCCCCCCCCCGTGAGGGAGGCAGGCAGGGGATCAGAATGGCTAAAGTGACACTTTGTGAGACTATGGGCACAAGCAGTGTTGCTTCAGGCACTTGAGAGCAGAGTGTGGAACAAAGTTGGTAAAAGTATGGATATTTGTTGTCTCCCCTGCCATCTTCTCTCAGAAGCCCACATGCCTTGAGCCCCAGGAGAATAGTAGTTCAAAGCATTGGCACCCAGCACCCTTGGTCTGAACACTACTGTATCTCACCAAAGCAAAGCTCCTTGGGTGGTGGCAGAGAGAGAGACAATGGAAAACATGGCAGGGGGTACTGGGTGTAGACCAGTTTGTGAGTACATGAGGAAATATCCTTTTTGTGTGTTCCGGAATATTTGGCAGAAATTTTGCACAGGGAATCAGCCTAAAGTCCAGCAGTCATTCTGGTAGGGCTCAAACCACTGTAAATTGGGCGTGAAAAGTTAAGATTACCTCAGTTTATACTCACAGTCTGAACCTGGACAGAGCAACTACATGTGTATATCTCTGTGTCTATGTATATGTGCATGTTTAAGTGTACATATTTTCTTAACAAAACTGATATCCCACTGTATATCATTTTGAATCCATTTTTATTTTTACAGAGCACTTTATTTTGGGCATTTCTTTGTCATTAGATATTCCCTTGGGACTGTGTTCCCGAGGTCAGGGAGCCTTGCCCAGTGGCTGGGGTCTTGCCACCTATCTTCCAGCTGGAAAGGAAAACATCTGCTTTCCTGCCTTCCACTTCTGTGCCTCCCCCCAACTGGCTCATGAGCTCTGTTACTTGGTCCCAGCAGCCTCTCACAGTTGTGACATTATTGGGGTCGCACTTCATGCCTTCCATGGGGGTAAAAAAGAGATCTGTTTTCAGAAGCCATGACAGGCAAGGTCCAGAAGTCTAAGAGTAGACAGGTCAGGTCATCCATCGTCACCACACGCCAAACCCAGGGAGCCCTTCTCTACCCCCACCCCACCCCACCCCAAGCCTGCCAGTTTGCTGAGTCAAGAAACTGAGCTTTCTATAGCAAGCTCATAGAAAGGATGGAACCTACGCCCAAGTCTTCTGATTCCCCAAGGTCAGTGCTTTTCCACCCACCTCTTAACCCTCCTCACAAGAAAGTTGGGAGGAAGAAGTGAATTTACCCACAAATCACACAGCAAAGCCACAAAAACACTTTTATTTAATTGCTACCACAAATACAGAATCAAATTAAGGCAGTATAATACATTTCCCCTTATCTTTACAAGCTTTTATACAGTAATCTTTGCTTTCTGTGTCAGTTTGAATCAATAGTAGAAATGTTTATTAAACAACTTTTTCTTGAATGCTAGAGAAAAATCATTCCCTGGGCTATCAGGTGTGCTAATACAAGACGCGTACAACTTAACGTTGTGGATCACAGAACGTCAGCCAAAGGCTGAGAGGCTGAGGGACAAGGCAGGAGACAAAGGCTCTGGAGACCAGCTATTACCTTGAGTTCCCTTCTGGATGAAAAAGAAAAATGTAAAAACATTATGCAAATACATCAGGCAGTCTAAAAAAAATCTGAGGTAAAGAGTAGTTGTCAATTAGAATATTAAATACATGACTGTAATTGGTCCTAGCAACCATAAATTTGGATTTCAGAAGAAGTAACTAGTTTATGAATGGATTTGTTTCTCTGGAACTAAATGAAAGAAAATTCTGGAAGGTTTAAAAAGGTTAAGTGACTGCAAACAAGGTGACTATAAAAATCAGCACCAATGTTTGAGTTTTCATAAAAGAGAAATAATTTGGTTTGGCCACATCTTTCCTTTTGCCATTTGAACTCATAGGCATAAAAATTTATTTTATTAAGAGCTTATCAAATTGTGTTCTTCAGATATGGGTCATACCTTGTTGCTGAAACTCAGAAAAGAAACTGTTTCAAGTACTTGCACTTTATCGAAACTGCCTTTCTGACTGCCATTTTAAAAAGTACAATATAGAGTTACACACTTAAAAACATAAAGCTTTGTGGTCACATTTACTTACAGAAGCACTCCTCCCCTTCCCCCCCCCCCCCACTGGCGGGGGAATGAGAGAATAAAGCAGGAACTGAGAGGAGGAAATGAAGAGAGGGGAGAAAAGGGGATACGAGGGTGAGAAAAAAATCAACTCTAAAATTTTAAGGATCACTGTTGGCTCAAGGTCAACTATAGAACGAAAAGGAGGCTCAGAAGAACAGATGTGAAACTTGGGGGAGGTTTTGTCTCTAAAATAGCAAGCGCACACATGCGCGCGCGCACACACACATACACTTTTTCAAAGTATGTTCTGTAAAGAAGGAGTATGCCTACAAGGTGGATGTAGCTTACACCACGTCTGTGAGGGCATGTCTATGTGTGTCTGTGTGTAGGTGCAGTAAGTTATCTCACTTTGAATTACATATTCTAAACAAACTTGAAAGTGGACTGCTTCCTGGCCACCCTTAAGAGCATTATTCACACAGCCATTTCATCAGAATCAGCTTCAACATCAATGATCACAATCTTATGATAATCACTGGTGGTAGTGGTGATCACAGTGGGGTCAGGACCGTGGGAGGCAGTGGCAAGTTCCAGTGGGCTGGCAGCAGGCTCAGGGGACCCACTGTCAGGGCTGTAGACAGGCTCAAGGAGATCAGTGACATCACACTCAAAGTGGCCGGCGGCAGTGGTCTCAGGGTGACAGGACACAGTGAGCTCAGGGTGGCTGGCAGCGGCAGGCCCCGGGTGGCCAGCAATTGCTGGCTCAGGGTGGCTGGTGGCAGCAGGCTCAGGATTATCAGCAACAGTGGGCTCAGGGTGGGTGGTGGCAGGCTTGATGTAGCCAGTCGTGGTTTTAGGGTATTTGGTGGCAGCGCTGAAGGCAGACTTGGAGTGGCTGCCAGTAGGAATGTGGTGGCCAGTGACAGGCTTAGGGTGATTGGAGGCAGGCTTGAAATGGACAGAGTCAGCCTTGAAATGGACAGAGGCAGGTTTGAAATGGACAGAGTCAGCCTTGAAATGGACAGAGGCAGGCTTAGGATATACAGTGGCAGACTTGGGGTGACCAGACGCAGATTTGGAGTGGCCAGAAGCAGGCTTGGAGTGGCTAAAGACAGACTTATGGTGGCCAGAGGCAGATTTGCGGTAGGCAGAGGCAGCCCGGGAGTGGCCAGAAGCTGGTTTGGTGTGGCCAGAGGCAGGCTCAGGTTGGCCAGCTGCAGCATCACCAGGTAGTGGAACATTCCGGACATTCATTGGCATTTCCTCCACAGCAGGACAGGCATGGGCACGATCTTGTTCATGGGCTTGGTCACGAGCCCGGGCGCGGGCACGGGCCAGGGCCCGGGCCTCCCGAGTCTCACGAACATCAGTGATGAGGCCAGAGAGGAACAGGATAGGGTGCCGCATAGCATGGAAAATGGTCCAGTATTCTCTTCGGAAATTCTCATTGAGGAGCCCGTAGATCACAGCATTGAGGCAGCTATTGAAGTAGGCTATGAAGTAGGCTGCAAGATAAAGCCAGTTGGGGATCTTGCCTGCCATTTCCTTCGGACTGACAGCCACCAAGACAGTGAGCACGTTGATAGGACACCAGCACACTGCAAAGAGGAGGAAGATCACAAACATGGTTAGAAAATTGCGAACCTCAGCAAGCTGGTTATCGGGATTCTGCCCAGCTGGGTCACGGGCTGCTAGCACTTTGGTCCAGATCCTCACGTAGCAGAATCCCACTATGAGCAGAGGGAGGACAAAGTGGATGCAGACGATGGTCACAGCAAAGACAGGGTTGTTGAGATAGTTGAAGATACAGGTGTAAGTGCGAGGATCATACTCGATGGTGCCAATGTACATGTTGGGCAGGACTGCCAGGATGGTCATGACCCAGGTGATGACCAGGTAAATGCAGGTATTGCGCACGCTGAAGATCCGCTCATATTGGAGGCTGTGGCAGATGTAGCAGTAACGATTGATGGCAATTGCCATGATGTTGAAGATAGAGCCGACCACACTCAGCCCTGTGATGAATCCAACCATCTGACACTGGAACTGGCTCAGATCCCAGCCCCCAACGGCCATGGCATGCAGCATCAGAGGATAGGGGTAGATGGCCACCAGCATATCGGCCACGGAGAGGCTAACGACGAAGATGTTGCCTGAAAAACATATGAGGGGGAAGGAAAAGGGGGAAAGCAAGGGAAAATAAATGGTTAAGTTTAAACTGGAGGGAAAGGCCGGCTGAAGAGGTGACAATTTAGAATTCTAGAATTCTTTTTAAAAAACACTCCTGTGTTTTTGTGTTTATTTGCAAGCATGCCCCAGATTATTGTGATGTACAACCGAGTTTGGGAGACCTGTCCTTTGAGCGCCTTTTTCCTTTCAAACAATATCATCTCTGCTTCAGGGAGGAAAAAATAAACGAACTTATGTCAGAAAGCAGTAAGCACAGAAGCCCTTTGTGGAACCTTTCATACACACGGGCATGCTGCCACCTTTTTAGACAAAAACAGAATGCAAACTTTTTCCTTAAATGGGGATAGGGAGGGAAGGGAGAAGGGCATAGAGGCCAGGTAGAAGCTGTGGGTAGGAAGTAGGCTGGAGGTGTGGGGGGAAGGGAAGAGGCTGGAGGAGTGTCAGGAACCCTCACCCCCGCCCGCCCCCCCCCCCGCCGAAAAAATGAGTGAGCCCTCTGCTTTTTCTAGCCTAGTGTTGTTTTTAAAACGCAAACCTGTCTAAGAGAACAGTCTGAGAAACGGCATTAAAGGCCGTCGTCTCCTTAAGAAAACGAGATCAGACAATAATGACTAAGCCCGGTAAATACTTACCATTTCCAAGGTAGCCTAAGAGTGAAAACTGAGGGGAGGGAGGGAGACCCTGTAAAATTTAGTCTGAGACCAAAAACTGTGAGTAGGGAGAAAAACAATCAGGAAAATCCCGGCAAGGATTAGCCGAAGTGCCTGCTTCCTTGAGATCTAGCGCAGAGCCGCGAACCCGCTTATTCAACGCCCTGTGTAAAGAGTTCCCGCCCCTGCCCTGAATTTCACTAGAGCTTTGCAGCTAAGCAGGCAAGTGAAGAGGGAGGTCGGGCCCCAGTCCTGTTTTGTACGGCAGCGATAGGAACGTTTTTGTAAAACCTGTCCAAAAAAAAAAGGACGAAGAAGCCTACTGCAGGCGCTGAGCTGTCTCCCTCCTCCCCTCCTCTCTCTCTGAAACACCTCAATGCTAATTAGCGTTGGTTTGGCAAAATACTGCACTTCATCTTGGACTAGGAGAAAATGAGCACTTTTTAAAAGGGCAAAGGAACGTTTCCTTCTGCCCTCCTGCCAGCGCTGAGGTTCTTTCTAGGGTTTTCCCTTAAAGAAATGAATTGGGGAAAGTGGAAAAGGCAGAGGAAAAAGCCTTAAAAACAAAAACACAATAAGAACCTTTATTTGAATTATAGAAAGAAAGAAAGAAAGAAAGAAAGAAAGAAAGAAAGAAGAAGGAAAAAGAAAGGGCAGAAGAAGAAAAGTAAGAAAAAAAATGGGCTTCGCAGGTGGTCCCTGGGGGCTCTCTGGTTCCTTGGGACCGCACTACTGGGGCGAGGGTGAGGTCCAAGCGTGCAGCCTCGCGTCTCCAGCGGACCAAAGTGAAATCAGACACACGCACCAGAGCGTAAAAGAAAACTTTTAATGACTGTGTGTCCGTCAGTGCATTTTGAAACTCATCCTCTCAAAGTAATCCTCCAAAAACGGGCTGCTTCCTCTTCCTCGCGCCCCGCCCGCCGGGTCCTATGGGTATGCGACTCTCTCATCCCGCCCTCTCTCCCGGTTCAGCCGCCTGGCCCCCCACAGGCGGAGATCCCGGCAGCAGAGACCCCGGGCGCCGCCCCCTCCCTCCTGGGACCCGCGCGAGGCGTCCGGGCCCCTTTGCCCCTCCCCTCCCGTCCTCCGCCCTCCCCCGCCCAACCTGCAAAAGGGGGCTCACCGCTTGGCAGAGTCCGCCCCGCCCCCGCCCCCCGCAACGGTGGCCGCGCCCTGCAGCCTCCCGCGCCGCCCGTAGCCTAGCTCGCAGCCGGCCCCTCTCCTGGGCACCGGCTCCCGGCTCGCCGCCAAACCCCATCCCGGCTCCCGGCGCTTCGCAGTCTCCCTGCGCCTCTGGCCGCCTCCTCCGAGCTCTCCCGCGGCCCTCCCGCCATCCTCGCCCTGTTCTCCCTTCTATGCCCCCCACCCGAGATGCCCAGCTCCGGGACCTCTCCACCAGCCCTCCCTGAGACCCCCCAGCACCTCGCTTACGGACTTCGCGATCTCCGCTGCCGCTGCCGTCGCTGTCACCGCCAGCTGCCCCCAGACCTCCGCTCTGCTCTCTCCGCCCTGCGCCCTGGGACGGGCGGACGGAGCTCGGCCCCGGAGGACTCAGACCACCCTGCTCCACACTCAGACGCGAGGGTCTGCGCTCCGCTGCCCGGGAGGCGCCTGGGTGCCGCCCTGGAGCCCCAGAGCCGCGGCAGCTGGGGCTCGGCCGGCCCAGGGCGCCGCCGCTGCGCTGCGCTCCTGTAAGCGCAGCCACAGCCACCGCGGCCGCCGCAAACTTAACTTTCCCGGAGCGGGTCGCAACCTTGCAGCTCTCTCCGCAGCAATTCGGCCCGCGCTATCTCCGCGCCACCACCTCGGTGGCCTCTGGCTCGGCGTGCTGTCCCCAGACGGTGGCCGCACTCTCTGCTGGGGTGCCGGCTCCCTCTGCATCACGTCTCCGACGGGGCAGGGCTGAGCGGTCTGCCGCGCACCGCGGGACCCGGGCTTTGCCCTTGGACGCCAAAAGCTTATTTCCCCGAGCTCCCTCAGCCTTCAGAAGGTCTCAATTTATGGGGCCCCGGCAGAACATCACCACCCAGTTTCTCAGGGAATTTGAGGGTAGGGACGTTCAATGTGAGGGCACTGTCCGAAAGGTCCCTATTTTAGGCGCCCGAACCAATGACCTAGTGTTTGCAAGTAGCTGCACGCTAGGTAGGAAGAAGTAAGGGTGGCTTACCAGAATTTCGAAGCTTCTTATTCTTCGTCACAGCTAAGATGACCATGGAGTTGCCGATCAGGTCTACGACGATAGTGATAACCATTGCGCAGAACATAAAGATGATTAGAGCCGGTGGGTAGTCTGGCTGTGGCAGCTTACAGCCGATGCAGCCGTACGGGGTGGGGACTGCCAGGGTAGGCCCCATATTGCTGCCGGAGACAGTTTGGCTCTCCCAGCCAGTCAGGACAGCGAACACCCGCTCTGTCACCAGGAGCTTCCAGAAAGCTGCCTCCCCTCCGAGGATCAGAGAGCGAATGACAGCAACCCGCCCCTCTCCGATGAGCTTTTAAAGCCTCAAGAGGTGGCTAGCCCCACCCCAAATCCCTCCCCCCGACCAATCAGAGCTCCTCAAACACCCCCGCTTTGATCTCCAACTCATCTTGGACAAATCCACAACGAGGTGTCGTCTTGCTTCCGACTGCCTTGTTTGTGCTTCCCCTCTAGCCGCCCCCACCATCCCCTAGGTACTTTGCCTCGTGACGAGCTCAGAATCCACCTCCCTGCTCCCCAGCCACTGCGCTTCCGTTTCTAGCAAGTTCTTCTCCCTTCCCTTGCAACGCAAACACTTAGCAAAGCGATGTAAAATGCAGAGCAGGGTCACGGGGGTCTCTCTTGGGGTTTGGTTCCAACCCAAGCCAGTCTGTAGCCTCCAGTAGAGTGTGAGATAGCGCCAGTGGCCCTTGAACCCTAGCTATATCTCCTTGAAAGGTTCATCCCACCTCAGAGTGCTTTTACCCATTCAGAGCCTTTTGCACCTCATGGGGAGCAGGGGGCAGCTGCCCAGAGCTTCCACTCCCAGTCTGGGTACCCAGTGTCCAGGGAACTTATCTCTGCTAGAGGCTAGTTGGCTCCCTTAACGGCAGCAAGCGACTGAACAGTCGATCAGGGACTTACGCTCTCCTTAAGGAGATGTCCCCTGCGCCGGGCTCTGGGAGCAGGGAGTGGGGCAAGCGAGAGCAGGGGCTGGTCCCCTTCCCCGCTGCTAGGCACCGTGACTACGGGAGCTCACAGGCTCCTTTGGGAAAAAGTAAAGCGGCGAAACAGTTCCGGCTCTTGTCCCCTCTTGAGGTGCTCCGCACGCTCTACGGGGTGGCGCGGGGCTCTCGGGCAGGCTCGGGGAGCTGCGCTACAGCGGCGGGACGGTCGCGGAGGTGCCGGGCATCACAGCCAAGAAGACGGCGGCAGACCAGCACCTCCGCCCCAGGCATATACCTTTGGTCGGTGCTTCTCCCTTGCCACCCTTTGCCAGGGGTCCCATTTCGCTCTCATTCAGTCGGACCGCCCCCATCCCTGTAAATCTCTGCCCGGAGGCGTCACGGTTCCCTGTGGAGCGCCCAGGCACGCGAAGTGCGCGGGCCATGGGAAATTCGAACTGTTGGGGCTAAAACTAGAGGGGCGCGATTCTCTACTCGCTCCCTCCACAACCTCGGTCACGGGAATGGATTTCTGCCCGCTACTCAGACTCGTGGCTCTTGCTGAGAAGCTTCGCGGTAAGTATCGGTGAACATTTTGAAACTTGTCCCAGACTAGCTTTCTTGCTGCACTGGGGGAGAGGGGGTTGCACTGTCTGGGAGCGCCACCATCTGGACACCGCAGCCCTCCTACCCTGCCGGGAGAGGGTCCGACAGAGGGGGCGGATTCCGAGAGGGACCGCGACGTTCAGGGACCCTTAACGGAAAGGCAGACATGGCTGAACACAAGATTGCACGCACTTTCTCTAGCGGAAAAACCCAAAGTAGGAATGTGGGAAGATGAATCCCTCCACCCCTACCCCCGGCGCTTGCTACCGGGAAGGGAATCCGCACGAAAGACGATCTCCCGCTTTGCGCCTTTTCACATTCATTATCTCACTGCTCCTGGCTGGCGGGCTGGCTGGAACCCGGGAGGCACACTCTCCGGGCTGGACGAGGCCAGGATTTATCCATAAACGCAGCCTGAGAACCGGCTCTGCTCTCCTCCTCAGAGGAAGGTTAGCCCTGAAAAGAGGCGAGCGGCCAAAAGTCCATCCACGCGATGGACTAGTTCGTCCACATCAGGCTGCTCACGCTGGTTCCCCGAGGGTTTGGATCTTTTTACTTGTGGCAGGGAGCCGTTTTTAATTCCAATAAACAAAACAAAAAAAAATTGAAGGAAAAGGGAAACACGCATTCTAGTGACTGAAGATACTGGCATCTCCCCTGCACCGCCTCCACCATCAACAATCCTGTAAAGACAGTTGGCAAACTGTTCTTTCAGACATTGTTATATTCTGTACTTCTCAGAGGAGGTGGCCGCAGAGCTGGTGGAAACCCGGGGCACTGGGAAGTCTCAGGAGCTGTGTCCCGGGCTTGCCTGGGACTGAGGAGTGAGCAGGAGAGAGGTTGAGCTGATCCCTGGCCCCCTGCCCCTGTTTGGACGCTGCTTGACCATGACCTCTTGGGACTTGGATTTTTCAGTACTGGACAAGTGAGAGAGGCAACTGTTTTCATAATGGGAGGGGTTCTGCATCTTGTTAAATTAAATTTGTTAATTTTTTGAATTACCTTAATAAGGAATCTGAACATTTCCCAGTCCAAAAAAAATATATATTGAATCTGCTATGTGGATACATATGAGGAAGAAAACCAGTCAGAATTTGCAAGGGTAAGACAAGACTCATGTACAGTAACCTCAATTGCTTCGGAATAGTTAAGGGGGCAGGTCTTTCTTGGGTAGAGTGCAGTGTGTATGGTTTATTTAAGCTTCCAAAGGATTTTTAAGTATCTTTCTAAAAAGCCTTCTAGGAAGCCCTAATAACTGGGAGTGGAGAAAAACAATTTATTTGGGATTTGAAACCTATGAGGTGTAGAATCAAAAGAGGACACCTAGGACATTTCCTGGGGAGTCCCAGGAAAACCTTGGAAACCCATACAGAGATTGGGAAGGAGCATAAAATAATGAATAGTGGACAGGGAATTGTGTAGACAGCTTCCAATCCTGGAGCCCAGCCAGGTCCCAGCATGGCCCTTTCCCCTAGATCACTTATTATGAGATAAGACACAGTGCCTGTCTCCCAGAGGACTCTCAGCACTGAAAACTCACCACATCCCAGGTAGAAGTGATGCCGAGGGGCATTCTGTGTAAAAGGTAGATATTAAAAGATTTTTTCCCTCTTCTTGTTGATACAGAAAACTTTCTTCCATCTCAGTCTCCACATTTCTTATGTTCTGAAAGATCGGTGCCAGCGGGGGGGGGGGGGAGCAGTGGCAGTCAGGGTCGCAGCCAACAACTTGGCTCTCTTTTCAAAGTTGAAAGAGAGTAAGCAGTTTCTGCTGGCAAATGGGCAAAATTTCTGTGCATACGAGGATAATACCTTGCCTGTGTTTAATGCATTGTCATTTTAAGTAAGCATTTTATAGGTTTCAAAATCCTGTCAGGGATATATTTTCGCATAACAATGCCACTTAACAGATGGGAAACAGTCTCAGAGAGGTGACAGGACTTGCCCAAGGTCATGCCAAGGCTAGTGGAGGAGCCCAATATCCTTTCAGCCCAGGGATTTTCTCCCACAGCCCAGCTTCATAAGATAGTGTTTTGCTCTGGCACTTGATAGGGTGGATTCTGTGTTCTCTTTTCTGTTGTTTTTCTGTTTTTTCATTTAATGGTTTTTATTCACATATATTCACATACCATAGTCACCTCTTTAAAGTGCACAATTCAGTGGTTGTCTGTACATGTACTAAGTTCTGCAACTATCACCACTACCTAATTTCAGAACATTTCCACCAACCCAAAAAGAAATCCTGTACCCCTTAGCAGTCACTCCCCATTCCCTCCAAGCCCCCAGCTTCTAGAAACCACTAATCTGAGTTGTGTCTCTATGGATTTGTCCATTCTGGACATTCCACATAAATGGAATCATACAATATGTAGCCTTTTGTATCTGGTTTCTTTCCCTTAGCATGTCTTCAAGGTTTACCCATGTTGTAGCATGTATTAGTACCTCCATTCCCTTTTATGGTCATATAGTATTCCATTGTATGGATAAACCACATTTTGTGTATCTATTCATCCATCAGTGGGCCTTTGGATTGTTTCCACTTTGGGGCTATAATGAGTAATGCCACTGTGAACATTTTGGGTTCTTTTTTAGCCACAGGTGGCCCCTGGCCCAAGATAGCCAAGCAGAGGGCCTCTTAGTGCCAACTCATATCTCCTCCAATCCCAGCAAGGGCTGGAGAGCCAAGGACTCCCCCAGGCACTCCAGACTTCTTTGGCCAATGCTCTTCTGGATGAAGACTGCATTTGGCTCATTTCTTAAAAATAAAAACAAGCTTGAACCCAGATAATCATAGTGCCTCATCAGAGGGTTGATGGGAGACTTTAATGAGATAATACATGCAAGTGCTTAGAACATTATTCAGAACAGAGTAAGCACTTAACAACCACTAGCTATTATTACTGTTCCTTTTTTATTTATTTATTTTTTTACTGTTCCTTTTTTTTTAACATTTTATTTATTTTTGAGACAGAGAGAGACAGAGCATGAACGGGGGAGGGGCAGAGAGAGATGGAGACACAGAATCGGAAGCAGGCTCCAGGCTCTGAGCCATCAGCCCAGAGCCCGACGCAGGGCTCGAACTCACGGACCGCGAGATCGTGACCTGAGCCGAAGTCGGACGCTCAACCGACTGAGCCACCCAGGCGCCCCTACTGTTCCTTTTTTAATGTTTATTTTTATTTGTTTATTTTGAGAGAGAGAGAGAGCATGTGTGCAGTGCTCACAAGCGGAGGAAAGGCAGACAGAGAGAGAGGGAGAGAGAGAGAATCCCAATAAGGCTCTGCATGTCAGCACAGAGCCCCACACAGGGCTGTCTCAGAAACCATGAGATCACGACCTGAGCCAAAATCAAGAGTTGAACGCCCAACTGACTGAGCCACCCAGGTGCCCCTATTATTATTATTATTATTATGAAAGTGTCTAATAGTCTGTCTAAACTCTATTGTGTTACACTTTCATAGAGGACAGAGGCTCTCTGAGACATCAGAGACTCTGCCCCCAGCTGCCACGCAATGGGCACTCATCAACCTCCTAGGCCTCCATGATATGTGAGTCAGATGGAAAGGAAAGTAGTGACTTGCCTTTTCATGAGCACCCAACATGCTTCACTGACACAGTCTGTATAGTTTTCACAAGAAGGAACCATCTTGTTTTTTACATCAATCAGAATGGAAGCATGCAGGATGGTTGGTCTCTACACAGCTCAGACTTAAAGTCC